ATATTTTCTCTGATATGCAGATGCTAATTCAAGGGTGGGGGGCTAGGCAAGAATAGAGGTACTTTGGATTAGGCAGAGGAGAGTAAAAGGAGTGGGGGGATGGGTGTAGGGATGATAGTAGAATGAATTGGACATCATTACCATATCTGCATATATGATCACACGACCCATGTAATCCTACATCATGTACAACCAGAAAAATGAGAAGTTATATTCCATTTATGTATGATGTGTCAAAATGCATTCTATTGTCATGTATAACTAATTAGAACAAATTTTAAAAAAAAGAGTATGTCTTTCAGAATAGGTGTCTCTCACATTGCTGAGGACTTTATCCTCCCATAAACCCAAGCACTAAAACTAAAAATATGGCCCATGTTTGGGATCATTTTTCTTGTGATAGATGCATTGTTTGCGTTCTTAAGTGGAGTGGAAGGGACCGTGTTGCCTGGGCCATTATCGTGAATGTGAGTCACTGCACCACTGTGTGTGACAGGATACCATGCAGCACCTGGGGATGTCTGAAAGGCTTTCATGTTCTCTGCTTGTGAGCTCTTGCTGCTTTTCCTTTGATCCATTTTCTCTCCAGCTTTGGGGTTGACTCAGCCTGCTTTCCAACCACCATGGTTTTCAGCATCTAAAACTTTATGGCTGACAGGGATATCCTGTTACCTCTTGCAGAGAGATGAGAATGTGGCACAGATGCCATCACTCTACCTGTTCTTCTGGGAATAGCACTCATTGGTCATTCATGTTCCCTTTTGAGGTGTTCAGCCTTAGAATCCTCTTTATCATAGAGTTCCAGGCAGCCACTGGTGTCAGGAGGATGTCAGATGAAATCCGCTCACCTACTGTCCACTGTCTACCTGGGCTCCTTCCAATTACAGGTGAGGAAAGCCAGGACCCAGAGCCACCTGGAGGACAGTTCTGGTTCTCAGATGGTGCTCTTATGTGCTGTGGGCTTCAGAACCCTGGTAATTAGGCCATTGGAACTGTGGTTCCTACACTTGAGATGGGAGAGAAGGGCTCTTATGAGTAAGATACAAGTTGTGCACGTGTTCGTGCTTATTCTAAGCATCCGTTTGGCTTTCTTCCTGATTCTTTGTAGTTCCAGTTGGGGGTGTTGCCATCTGAGAATTCTAGGTAAGGAGAGTATTGTGCTTTTTAACTTAACAGAAGTACCTGAAGTCAGTACTAACCTTGGCTGTTGTTCTGTGAGCAGTTCTGCACAGGCCTCCCTCAGACCTTGGAAGAAGGATCTGTGCCAAGGCCAGTGGAGAGGCCAGGGAGGGAGACGGACGGTTTTCATGGAATGTGTGTGTGTGCAGTGGGGGCTGTTCCTAGGAGAAGGAGAAAAGCTGTGAGGGAGAGGCCTGGCCTCAGGTAGTGAGCTCCAAGCTTATCTTCTCATTTTGACCCTTTGCCCAGGCAAAGACAAAGCACCTTTTATTTATGAAAGCCTTTCTGTTCATGCTGTTGCTATGTCTAATGAACAGCAGAAGTGAGGGTGGGAAAGGGCTCTTTGAAGGCAAGATTTTTCTTTTTAATGTTTGGGGGAGGGGATGGTTCTTTAAAAAGAGAGAAAATCACATAAGTCCATACAACATTTGCAAATGCTTTTGTAGCAAAATCTTTAAACTTTGTTGCTTTCCTCAAGTAGTTAGATTTCTTTTTTATTTTTATTTTTCTAATTTTAAGAGTAATATGTGCATGTGGTAAATACTCAAAACAGGAGAACAGAGCAGTGATAAGTAGGTGTCTCCTTTCCCTCCACACATCTAGGCTCACTCTACAGGTAATTAGCCTTAGCAAGTGGTCTTATGTCTCCATATGTGCTCCACATGCAATTGGCTGGGGCTGTCCTAACAAAATATCACCATCCATGTGGCTAACAGCAGAAATTTAATCTCTCACTTCACGTAGGATTAGGGACCACCTCAATGAGATTATTTAACCTTAATTACCCCCCTTGAAAGACCCTATTTCCAATATACTCTCATTGTGAGATACTAGGTGTTTATATCTCACCGTAAGAATTTTGAGGGACCATAATTCAGCCCATAATATGGACATACTGTGTGTGTGTGTGTGTGTGTGTGTGTTTGTTACTGAGGATTGAACCCAGGGCTCTACCTCTGAGCTACACTCCCCCAGCCCTTTTTATTTTGAGGGAGAGTCTTGCTAAGTTGTCCAGGTTGTCCTTGAGCTTGCCGTCCTCCTGCTTCAGCCTCCCAAGTAGCTGTGATTACAGGCATGTGCCACTGTGCCCAACTCCGATTTACTCTTTTAAATAACATTCCATTATGAAGATAGCCCATAATTCATTTAACCTTAGCCCCTGTATAGCTGGACCATAAGGCTTTTCCCAGTGTTTGTGTCTAAATCCCTGTACTCTTGTGGAAATGTTCTAGAAGGATTTTAAGCATAGCTCTTTAAAGAGATTCTCTGACTCCCTTTTGAGTATAGAATAATTTCTCATGGGAAAGGAGAGAGTGCAGTATCTAATACTGTTTGTGATTTGATGCTGGTGAGAAAGTCAGAGTGCAGGGCACCATTCATGCCTTGGGCCCCAGGAAATGGAATCCTCAGCCGCTTTGAGGAGTGTCAGTGTCATGGTTTTACTGAACATTATTTGTTGAACATCCATTTGTTGAGCCACTATGGACATTTACTGAACATCCATTTGTTGAGCCACTATGGACAGGCATTGTTTGGCTCATTTTAAAAAAAAAAAAGGCTTTATTTTTTTTAGAGAAGTTTTAGGTTTACAACAAAAGCAAGCAGAAGATACAGAGATCTCTCGTGTTCACCCTGCTCCTACACATGTACAACCTCATCCACTATCATCAACACTCCCAGCAGAGGAACGCATTCATGGCATCTGGTGAACCTACACTGGCCTGTCTTCATCACCCAAAGCCCATAGTTTACACAAGGTTCTACATTTACTTGTTTTTTAAGACTTGGCTTGTTCTACAAAAGGCTTTTGCCCTCTGGAACCAAGGACAATAAGATGCTGTCTCTTCTGTCCAAATTTGTGACAGTCCTAGAGTTAGCCTGGCCAGGAATTGATGTTTCCAGTTTTAAAGGTGAAGATCAGTTGGGGTGAGTGACCTGCTGAGAGTAATAAGCTGTAAGTGGTAGGGGCCATAGTTGTGTTCTTCTAGAAGCAAGTCAGGGCTGTGAGAGTTTCCTAGAATGCCAACCTAATTATCTATTTCACAGATGTTGTTCTGAATTTCTATCTGGTGGGTTTAGCTTAAGGTAATGTGTTTGTTCCCTTGTTGTTGGCAGAGTTTACTTTGAAAAATAACTTTTGGGCTAGTAAAGAAAGTCTCTGGGCTGGAGATATAGCACAGTTGGTAGTGTGTTTGCCTCACATGCACAAGGCCCTGGGCTCAATCCCCAGCACCACACACACACACACACACACACACACACACACACACACACAAGTATCTTTTTATTTTAATGTGTATATATTTTACAGATGGACACAATACCTTTATTTTGTTTTTATTTATTTTTATGTGGTGCTGAGGATTGAACCTAGAGCCTTACACATGGGAGGCTAGTGCTCTACCAATGAGCCACAACCCCAGCCCCAGAAGTATCTTATTGAATTGTAACATATGGAATGTGTATTTATATGTACACGTATACACATAACATTAATGGGCTTTTATTTTATTTATTTATATGCAGTGCTGAGAACTGAACCCAGTGCCTCACGCATCATAGGCAAGCACTCTTCCACTGAGCCACAGCTCCCTGCCCACCATATGCATCATGTATATACAGTTGGTCCCTTGAGCTTCAAGTTGCACATTCCCATTATGTTCTGTAGAGGTGGGTGGCTGAAAGCATAGCCTTTCTCATCCTGGTGGGTCCCTGGGTGCGCATACAGTTCTTTCTTAGTCTCTGGATTTAGGCAGACCATGCTGTTGGGCCCCTCTTCTTGCTTTTCATGTTCTTTCTACCCTACTTTATCCTTTCTATGATTCTTGACCTCTTTTCTTGCTCTTAGCTGATCCCCCAACACTGTTTTCTCTAAGTGTAATGTTTTCTCTAACTGTGCCTTCCTGTTTATTACTGGCCATCTCCCAAGCCATTAATGCTTCTCAATAAAGACAATATCAGATCAGTTCTGGTGGAAGCTCTGACTCACACTAAATTTGTCTGCACACCCTGTAGGCAGGTGTCTAGAAAGAATGGTCATCTTCGAGCTTGAAAGGTTGACCTGCAGAAGGCTGGGATGAACATGGTTTTAAAGTAAATGGCACAATATATTGACACTAAGTGTCCTCCAGTTTAATTCAGCCCTGACACTTACTACCCAGGGTTAGTGCAGACCCCTCAAATTAAGGGCTCAGTCCCACAACACCAATTGCAAATTTAGGTTTTCTGTATTCTGACTGACTGGCTATAATAGGGGTTTCCACTAGCCCACCTTGGGTTTCCTTGAACAGCTCACAGAACTGAGGAAAGTTCTTTCTTATGTTTACTGGTTTATTAAAAAGAATACAAGGAACAGCCAGGTAAAAGGGTACATAAGGGTGAGGTCCAGAAAGGCCCAAGCCCAGGAGCATCTGTGCCTATGGGATTGGGGCACACCACCCTCCCAGCACATGGATGCGTTCACCAACCTGGCCTCTCTGAATCCCATGGATTAGGGTGTTCATGGAGATGCCATTCTATAGGTATGATTAAATCATGGAACTTTTGGTGTTTAACTCAATTTACATTTCCCCTCCCCAGGCATGGGTTAGGGAGTTGAACTTTTACTAAGCCACAGAGCAGATTTCTTCTGCCCCTACCCTAAAATACCCAGGGGCTCACCAAGAGTCACCTCATTAGCACAGACTCGCCTCCTCCAACACTCTGGAAATCCAAGGGGTTTTAGAAGCTCTTATGCTAGGATCCCGGGATGAAGACCAAATATGTATTTCTTATTCCGTCACAGTATCACGCTCTGAGAGGATGTCTGTGCTCTTTTCTAGTTGGCCTGCTGCTGTGGGCCTGCAGGCTGCTCCCTCTGCTGCGGCTGCTGCCCCAAGGTGCGACAGTCACGGACCACCCGCTTCATGTACGCACTGTACTTCATCCTGGTCGTCTGCCTCTGCTGCATGATGATGTCACCCACCGTGGCTAAGCAGATGGAGGAGCACGTAAGTTTGCTTGTCTTCAGCTCTTGATCCTGCTGCTGTTTGCAGGCGTTCGGAAAACATGATTTAGAGGACGGGATCCCATTCCCCATGTGGTTTGGGGTACAGTTGTTCTTCCTGAACCTTCCTGAAGCCTTCCCAGCCAAGCAGGCCAACATTAACAGCTTGGTCTTTAGGAGTGGGCTGGAGTAGTCTGATGCATATGGTGGAAAATGTTTATATCAGAGGACTGAGTGTTTTGTCTTTGCTTTGTTTATATCTGTTCCTGGTGAAATATACAGGCTTCTCTTGTAGACATGTGTACTTTTCCCTTGTCATAAGGATGACTGCCAGTATTTCAAGTAGCAGCTGCTATAAACAGTTCTTAATGAGAGGGAGGATACAGCTTAGATAGGTCCAAAGATAATAGGGAGTGGACTCTGGGATGATTTTTAACCTTTCTGGGCAGGTCACTTGTTGGCTGGTGACTCCAGGGGTAAGCGATAGATTCCAGTCATTTTTTTGTGCATTGGGTACTGAAGTAGACCTGGCACGTGATGCTCGTGGATGCGCACATCAGGCCTTTTCTTGGAATTTCCCCCGTGACCCCACAGTAGGCTCTGGATTAGTCAGATTCTGGGGGAGTGTGGTGGGATCCTCAAGGAAGTTCAATAACACCCTTCTTCCTCTGCTAGGTTCTGAACTAGTTGATAAATAAAAGATATTAGATGCCAAACATCACCTTCATTCCTTATAAAGTGATGTGATACAGTGTGGCTTGTATCTGCGGTGAGGTGGGTTTCATCCTATTGAGCCCCTACATGAGTCGTACCCAGCTGGTCACGGTCAGCAGGGAACAGGGCAGAATTCATCTGCCAGAGCACAGGCCTCCAGAGAGAAGGCGACTCTCAGCACATGTGAAGTGGGAGAGAAAAGACTAGACGTCCAAACCCCATTTTCCTGTGGAAACTCACATGCAGTGCGGTGTTCTCTGGGCGCTGACCAGTGAGGAGGTGGAAAGAGGCCTGGAGCCGGCTCTGATGGCACCAGCTCCATGGTGAAGATGCCTCACAAGGAGCAACTCCTGAGGAAGAGGGGACTGCGACTGCTCTAAATGCACTCAATTACTTCAAAACAACCATCTTCTTTCTTTCATTATTTTATTTTTTTCCTCTTTGTGGTGCTGCAAATGGAACCTAGCACCTCCTGCGTGCTAGATAAGCATTTTATCACTGAGCTACATCCCCAGCCCCAAACACCATTTTCTTAAAAGCATTTGGCATGTTCTCATCCATTAGTTAGAGGACATCCTTTTGAAGCTGTTTCTTGGGTGAGACACTCTTAATTGTTGTATGGCATTGGGTGTAGTGGAAACTAATGCCAAAACCTGTGAAGTTTGGATACTCTGATTGCTTTAAACTTACAACTCAATGAGGCACTGGAATGGGAGCATTCAAACGAGAAGATGGGGAGTCTTCCATGGCCTAAAACAAGGCAGAACTTTCATCCAGAAAGGCTGGATGAAATACAGAGGAAGTTTAGAGGCAGGGAGGCTAAGACCTGAGGCCGCCTCGTGGGTCGCTGCCAGTTTTGCTCTGTGTTGGTGTGTTTGCTTCCTGCTCTCCTGTTTCATCAGGGTTTAACCTTATATGCAAGAAGTTGGAGAATTGGTATACCACAAGGGTAGATTTGAGCTCATAATCTCCTATTTACTACTTCTGTTTTTCCAGGAGCATAATGTTCTTTTAAGATTCAATAAGCAATGGCTTGATGATCCCTTGTGGTCCCGTGGTGGGAACTCTGTGTCCCAGATGTCTGTGGCATGATTCCTGCTCTTCAAAAGTTTTCCGTCCTGGTGGAATTAAGCCTGGAATCCAAGCGACAAAATCTGTCACTATACAAATATATAGTGTCTCTTGGAAGTGAATTTGTCAGAAATATTGCTACTGGAAGGTAGAGGTCATTTGTGAGCCATAAGTATGTGTTTTAGAACATAAATTTCATAATGATTTTAATACCTGATTATGCCTTCCAAATAAATCACCCTATGAAACAGTCCCTAACAACTCCAGCCAGTTATCTGTGCAGGAGATGTTACCTGGTTTTGTTGGGAAAGGCTTCATGGAGGAAGTGGCTTGTATGGACTATAAGTATTTATTTAATTATTTATTCTAATTTGTTATACACAATGGCAGAATGCAATTCATTTCATATTACACATACAATTTTTCAAGTCACTGAATGTATATAAAGTATTTTCACACCATTCGTGCCTTCATCCATGTACTTAAGGTAATGATGTCTAACTCACTCCACCATCATTCCTACCCCCTTGCCCCCTCCCATCCCCTCTCTCCCCTTTGCCCTATCTAAAGTTCCTACATTCCTCCCAAGCTCCCATTCCCATCAACATTATGAGTCACCATCCTCATATCAAAGAAAACATTGGCCTTTGGTTTTTTGGAATTGGCTTACTTCACTTAGCATTATATTATCCAACTCCATCCATTTAGGTATTTTAAGAGCTAGTAATTATTGGGTAATACTATGTGCCAGGTTTTATTTCAAGCATTTTATCTCTGTCTTCTCCTTTACCCCCAGTAACTGGCCTTAACAGTAGCTGCTGTTATGCTTCCTGTTCTAGAGATAAGGAAACTGAAGCACTTGGTCGTTTGAGCTCCTTGAGCCGGGTCTCCAGCTACTAGGTGGTAGACTTGGGATTTAGAAGTTGGTCTGAATGTGTTCTTAGCTCTGGACTGTGTAGCTTGAGAGGAGGAAGAACACGGCCAGGGCATGCATAGAGGGACCAGCAAGAAAAACAGAAGGTCAAATGACCAAACCTTGCAGGAATTTCAGTGCTAAGGTGAAGTGATTGAATGTGATCCCGTGACAAATGAAAGCCATTGTAGATTCTTGAGCAGGAGGCCATCATCATTGAAATGGAGAGATTTAAGGAGGTGAGCTCCACACGGTGTGTGTGAGGTGGTTTGGGGTCAGAGACCAGATGGAGGGAGAGAGGAAGGGAAGGGGCAGCCCTGATGCCTCACCCCTAAATACACCTATTAAAGTGGTTTGGCTGAGCTTCATACTTAAGGGGTGAGGTCCCTGTGGGCAAAACTCACCCCGTTTCCATCTTTAGAGCCTTGCATGGGGCTGGCCATCTGGCCACAAAGTCGGCTTGTTCCGTGACCTCAGAAGGAGGCTGACCTCATCCTCAGGCGGTGTGTGAGGGTGGGTGTTGAAAGGTCCCCTTGTGTGACGCACACTGGGCTTCTGCTAGAGTCCTCGCCCCCTCTGCGTTGGCCTGTGTAGATGCTTGGGGTGGAGATTGGCAGAGGGGAAAGAACTGGGTACTGTGATGGCCCGATGGTGATGTGTCATTGCTTCCCACCCCTCATCCTCGCCTCTGCACACTGGAGGGACCCTGCCAAGTCACATGGGCCTTTGGTGTGTGGGCTAAGAACACAGCACGAGGGTGGCTCCCTATTCAGTTGCTTTCAGTTTTTGCCTTGGTTTCAGAATGTGGCGTGTTTACCACTCGGTGAGGGAACTACAAGGAGATGCTGGGCCAGCTTTTTCCTACGGAAACTCCTCTTTCCCATGAGAGCTTTGGCCCGGTGTCAGCTCTCCTGAACATGGAGCATGTACAGAGTTGAATGGAGCATGGTCTCTGCCTTCTCTTGGAACATTTTTCCCATCTTGGAACATAAGGAGCCATTTGATTACAGGTCCTTCTTGCTATGTGCTGTGTAATTTAAACAGGTATAAATTAGACATTTGATGCCTAAGATCCATTTTAGAATGTAGAACATAGTGGTGCACATCTATGATCCCAGCAATTTGGTAGGTTGAGAAAGGAGGATCACAAGTTAGAGGCCAGCCTCAGCAACTTAACAAGACTCTATATCAAGATAAAAAATAAAGGGCTAGGGATGTAGCTCACTGGTAAAGCACCACGGGGTTCAATCCCCAGTACTGGGGGAGGCAGAATGTAGAGCACAAAAGGAAAAAAAGAAACAGGCAGGAGGATAAGGTCTTCTGGTCTGTACCTCTAAGTCAACATGTCACTGCCGTGCTTGGGAGTCATATAGAGACAGTTGAGGTTTAGATGCTGTGGGAGCTCTGTGGGCATTTGGGAGAAAGGAGAAAGGAAGTTTCTTGTTTCCTGGGGACTAGGGACCCCCAAACTAGCCTACAGTAGAGAAGGAAGGCAGGGTGACCAGTGAGGCCCTTGGCCTTTCTCCCTCCTGAGAACTCACTGTGCCATGGCCAATGTGGGGAAGAACATTAAATTTCCTAACTGGAACCATCTCAGATTCATTTTTTTCGTCCCTTGCTCCTGTTGGCCCTGAGATGCTCCAATTTATCGAGAGCCCGAGATAGTTGAATTTTTTGCATCTGAAGTTTTTCAGAATCAAAACACATCATGAACTAAATAGTAGAATTATGCTTTTGGTGAACAGTGTGGAAAGGATTTCCAGGCACGGAGACTGGTTTTGTGGTGTTGTACTGTGTTCATCGTAAAGTTAAATTGTGCAGACGTATTTGTTATACTGAGAGGAGAGTCACCTAAGGTCTCTGTTTTTATTGAGTCTTCTTTTGTTTCTTCATTTGTTTTGGAAGGTATTGTGTTTCCTTTGTACTCTTGCTTGGTCTCTTCTGGAAATGTATTTTATTTTACATTATTTATTTTCACATTACTTTCTGCTGGCAGGTTTGGGTAGTTCTCTTTTGAGTGGGTAAAAATATGAAAACCACCCTTCTTTGATTGGTCATTGCCTCCCTAGGCAGGATGACAATGTCACAGGGCACAGAGGACTTCAGAGTATCACAGGACAGGATTGAATAGGACCTGGATGTGGGGTGGGGAGGTTGAGGTGTCATAAAGCAGCCCCCTCGTTCTGTTCCCTCTCCTGCCTTGAAGAAAGCGAGTCCCGTGGTTAGTACTCCCTCCATTCCTAACTCATTAGCCAGTGTCACAGCCAGTGCCACATCGGAGATGAGCCCACATCCAACACCTGGAC